CATTAGAAGAATCCGGAAAGTGACAGCTAGATTGCGAGTGCTAGATGACTTCAGTCTGGTACCAACAGATTCGACAGTTAGACTGTGCATTGAGCATGTCGAATTATCATTTGCCGGAAACAGGGTCGATTTCCATGTTCGATTCACAATGCCCAGGTAGAGAGGTAGTCAATATCTGATCCGCCAGGGGAGTACGAAATCAATTACAAAAATTCTGGAAGCTAGCCATGTGACTCGCCTTTCAGGGCCCACGTGACCCCTTCTGTGGCTGGCTGGAGATGCTTCACGTTGTGTCTGCCGATTGATGTCAGTGACGTTCTTGTTGTCATTTTCTATTCCGAGTGTTTGGAGGTAAACGCATACTCAGATGCGATTTCCCCGCGTGTTTCCAAATGTTGTCTCCCTCAGCCCCCCCTCCCGTCCAAAGTCTGACGAAACTGTTTTGCTTGCCTACAGGTATGGTCTGATGCTGGGACGCAAATATTTTTCAGCTACGCCCTGAGTTTGGGTGCGTTGACCGCACTCGGAAGCTACAACACCTTCTACCACAATTCCATCAGGTGAGCATCTCACAGAGCACTTTCTGTTTTATCACCCTCCAACTGATTTACGTCACCCGTTTCATGGGTGACAGGAAACGCGTCTGAAAACTGTGCTGAAGTCAGTCGTGGAAACGGTCGAAAGGAAGTTGGTACATTCAACATCAGAATGCCGAAGTCAAATTTGGCTTGAACTTTTAAATTTAAAAGGCCCGTGTATATTTTCACTCTGATAAGTAAAAACTTGGTGACAAGATTAATCCAACAAGCTCATTGAGTGACCGCCTTAGCAAGCCCGGCGATAAACCTAATGACAAATAGCAAACTGCGTGTTTCGAGTTAATTTGCAAATTAGCCTGTATACGCTCGCAAATTTTACGATCTCGCTGCACTGCGAGGACGAACAAACAACTAGAAGGACGTGCAGTTGAACATATCCCAAAATATCTCGTTTAGGTCTGATCAGGGTCAGGTAGCTAACAGACCAAAAGTTGACTCGTAACCGTATGTAATCGACTGCAGGCCCAATTAATAATTTTTCTTGTATGACGTCAACTCCCGGGTTTCGGTCATCAGTAGAGCACTACTAACTAAGTCCCATCAATCCCGTTAGAGTCACTTGGACTCTGTTCTTTTCTCTGGTTTTTAACCAAATGAATGTTACCTATTTGGTACTGGTAGATCATTCAGATCTTCGCCTTTAAGTGCGTGAGCTCTGACAGTTTCTTCTAGCCACAAAGCCATTAGTTCATAGAGGTCTAAGGAAGCGCCTGGGTGTGTTTTTTGTCCGCAGATCAATGCAACCCATTACGCTCAAATCACAGGTAACTCGGAGGTTTCTGCATCCATGTATGATGAAAATGTGGTGACCAAGTCGTACAACACCTTGTTCAGGTTGAATTAAAAGCCCCTGTTCCAATGAAGGGGTACTCATAAGCTGACTGGTGATTGACTCCATGTGTAGGGGTTTCACTTTCAGGCCAAACAAGTGTAATCAGGTGTAATTGGATTATGAATCAAAATACACTTACAAGGAGGAATTCAAAAGTGAGCCATGAACACGTGAAGCGCTAGAGAACTGTGATTCTGTGGTTGGTGGATAAATTATTGGATTGCAGTTATGAGTAACTACCTTTTATACTTTGTAATGCACTACTCATAAGGTTGCTGAAAACTCCTCGACTAACTTTTTTAATATTCAGGTTGCCGATTCATCACACTGATGAGCACTTGCGTTCTAACCGCACCACAGCAGCTATGAATGATACTCGTGTTGACTGTCTATTGGCTTGATGACGGGTGGCAACTAAAACACAGAAAGAAATAAGTAGACTTTTTTCATAAAGGAAACTACTCACACGGTTGCTGAAAACACTTCAACAGCCCACAACCATTTTCACCCTTTTTGGGACTCATCATGTAGGCGAGTTTCCGTCAACCTTATGTTCCCGCTGAACCCAGATTGCACAAAATTTGGCAACTCACCATCATCATCATCAGCAGCAGCATCATCAACGTCGTCGACAGGATGAAATCAGTGTTGAACACCGATGCTTCACTGCCGTAGTTCGGCAGTGGTGAGAGCCACTGGTCAACCAGGAAACCTCTGTAATGAACCAACGAACGAACGTTGTCAACCATTGTGTGTTGATGATCTGGTGTGGGCATCGTTTTAAGCCGCAGAGCAGCATACAGCTGTTTCACCCTCCTTCCGACACATCAAATGTGTGAGCCTCCAACAAGACACGAACTCCTAACCTCCAGGACTACAGTTGAACGGTAGATCTTTTGTTTACGAGTAGTTGATCGGCAGTCACACTTGGACGCCACTTATTACTCAGTAATGGAGTCGTATCACGTGACTACCTATTGATGACCGGCTTTTCAAATGATCAACACTACTCATCCGGTGAAGTATTCTATCTCCGAGGTCCTCGTAGCATGTTGGTGGTTAGAGGATACTTTGCAATTGCTATATCTTTCCCAAATTTAATCAAACCACCACAGCTCGTGATCGAACGGTTCAGTATTCAGGCACCAACCGGGAGATTGCGATATCCATAAAATGCGCACTGCTGACAACTGCGGATGAGGAACACTGCCTGTTGGCTTATTGACGTTAATTGATTTCACTAGTAAGACGAAATTTGAATTGCATTTTCTAATTTTTTTCGATTTTCCAACAAACATCTCTGCTTTGGCGGAAAGCTCGGACTGTGAGCCTGTGCACAGATTGGTAAAAAAGGAACTGCTAGTGAAGATAGTGTGATCAGATGTTGGAGTTTTGAGCTTAGATTATGTCTTTTAAGTGAAGTCAAACTATGCTGAAAAGCTGAGAAGCACAGAACATCTCTCTCATTCTTATTGCAAATCATCAGCTACCAGCACTCCCCGAAACTCTAGAGAACCATAAACCCGCGTCCTCTCGGCTAGTATTCTGAACACTTAACTGTTCGGCCACGAGCGGCTGAGAAGTACAGTAAGCTAAGAGCGTTGTTTAGAGTGTGATTACGCTCCTTTTTCACCGCTCATTTGCTACGCCGCATTATGTGGCTGGACTTTCCAATTTAGAAATACTACTTACTAACCCCTTTGTGCTCTCCTTGTCTTGTAGAGATTGTTGTCTTTTCGCAGCGGCCAACACAATGACCAGTTTCATGGCCGGATTTGTGATATTTGCCACTCTGGGTTATATGGCCCACACTTCAAAAATGCCCATCTCTTTGGTTGCCGAGTCGGGCCCAGGACTGGCGTTCGTCATCTATCCAAAGGCACTGGGCACAATGCCAGCCAGCCCTATATGGTCCATTTGTTTCTTCTTGATGTTGCTTCTTCTGGGAGTGGACAGTATGGTGAGTCTGACAAGCAGTATCCCATCTCGTTTCAACGAACGTTCTGGAAGTGTTGTGCAACAAATCCTCTTACCGGCAGATGTAATATTTGTCCGCATTCATTCTTTTGCACGGTTGCTCGATGATTCTTTACGAATAAAGGGACACAGAATACGTGGTGCCAGTGGGGCAGACCCCATGTTATCACCCAATCATCTGTGTTGTATGAGTTTACTGAAAACAAATGATCAAACAGTAATTTGTTACTGAAGTACCGAGTACTGTGTGGTTGCTTGCATCTGACCAAGAGTTGTATCACCGGATCCAATGCAGTCACTGCAGTCCAAAATGGATTGCAATCCCCTAAAACTTATGGATCATTTGCAGGGCGCCAGGCGTAGTACATTAACAGATCACCGTTGACGATCGAGGCCTTGGTATTCTTCCTCTTTGAGCCGCACAATGCTCTGACACATTATCTGATATTGGAAACTTATCCCAAATGACATGACAGACTTACTGGAGCAAGTGCAAAGTCCAAGCTATTTTTGGAAGTTTTTTTATCGATTTCATTGATTTTTGGAACAGAAACATGACTTCAAGTTCACACATGCACCACAGGGCCAGTTTGATTGCACTGTAAAGCAAAACCAGTGGCTCTAAAGGTCAAATGACTCACGATTTCACCAACACTTTCACAACAATCCATTATACTTACAAGTTATCCACCTCATATGGTTTCTTAATAGTATAGCTCCAACTGGGCGTTAAACAGCGGCAGTTTTGGTGTTTGGCAACAGGCAAGAAAAGAAGATTTGTATCTTTCAGATGAGCCGCTTTAGGGATGTCGCCGTTGCCCAGTAGTCAGGTTAGTTTCCAACATTTCGATGCAGTCTGGTTGTTCGTCATCCGAGCCATCGCTCGGAGATGTTTCCGGTACTTAACTATAAAACTTACGTTTTCCTTGGAGAAACTTGGGTTTCGCCCTTACTAATGATGACAGCGGAGTTGCAGAGGAACGTTACGGTCAACCACTCTTTGCTTCCCCCTAAGCAATATACCGCAGGTGAAAGGGCGTATGATGTACGATTGCTGCTTCTCATGCACTGTAAAAACAAAGACACAATGCACTCTGGGAAACCACGCAGCCCTGGATACAGTATGAGACAAAAAACAGAAACCCTGGAGGCCAAACACCATGAGATAATTCCGGCCAACTGACCTGGGGAAACTGATCAGGCCTATGCATTTGTATGCGGAAAAGACAGTCTGTCGGTTGAAATACTTAGACAGAGCTGACTCTCAAACCAACATACCAAGTGGAAAAATGCAGAAAGGCAGATAGACAACCAGACAAATATCACAGCGGCTGGCCCGGATTGGTCCGGTGCAATGGCAACCGGCCAATCAGAATACGACACCAGACGAACGTGAATGCTTACCCAATCAGGCATAAGTCAAGGTCACTCTAGACGGAAGCTTATCAGCATGACTCACGCACAACGCATATCTATACGCCCTCGAAGCACACTGACAATGCCTTCTGATCCGGTGATACTTATTCGCGAACGGCTGTCAGTTTCGTAGTATTCGGGTCTCATCGAGTGTGCACAGTATCTGGTTCCTGGGTCGTACAATGATATCTTTGCGGGTATGTGGATAAAATGAACTACTCGTTTCATCGTTCGTCGTCACTGACATCAGCTGTCGTTCTCCTGACATAGTTTGCCTCGCCGTTAAATAGTGGATATGCACGCCACTCAACTGGACCTTTCGTACCACCAACATTCCACGTTATTTTGACGAATACCTAGCATAAAATCTGTCTCGAATTTCACATGGCCGCTTGTTTAATCAATTAAAGAGATCATTTATGACCATTTTTGAAAATACTAGCCATATTTGATCATGACTCGAACGTTTTTTGCCTAAGCTCAGTTCTGCGAGTATTCTTTACCCCCCTCCGTAGAATCACTGAATTTTTTAAATCATACTCTTGTTCAATCACTTTTAGTTTGGTGGTGTTGAAGGCTTCGTCGCGGCACTGGTTGACTTCTTCCCGCGCATTCATTCCAACTCGCGGCTACGATGCACAGTCGTAGGAGTAGTCTGTTTAGTTTCCTACATCGTGGGTTTGTCCATGGTTACCAACGTAAGTGTCTCCGGTCATTGTCGCAGTTTGAATTTCAATTACTACTGATGGTCCGTTTTGTCCGTCTGCTTTTAACCTTTAGCCGTCAGTTACTTCAGCTGAACTCTTCAAACCTCACTGTTTTGAGAACACCTAGACGGCCAGTTCAAGTTTACCAATATGGGTACGCGAAGTTCATGTAGAGTTTTTGGGAGACAATTTAAACGAGAGGAATAGCAACTTGTTTCGCGTTAGCACTCTGTCCCAGCTATCGAGCGGAGGAGATCAGAATGTTCTGTTATGTCGTGTGACGACATCTCAAAACCTTAATCGGTGATTGTGAATTGTATTTGTCTGTAACAGATAAACACCAAGTTCCTCAAACTTCGATGACTTCATTGTGTGCTACACTTGTCGAGCAATCGCCTTTGTAGTCTTGTGCGGTTCTTTTCCCCTCTATAAGCATGACTCATCCTCATCACATCATCATCAATCATCATCATCATCATCATCACCACCATCATCATCATCATCAATCATCAACAGCATGATATCAGTGTTCAACACCGATGCTTCACTACCGTACAACCATGATTTATTTGAAAGACTTATTTTAGAGAAAAGAGTAAAATTGGACGGGAAAGGGACTATACCTCCAGACACTCACCATTTCCAAAGCCATCCGAAAACTCGAGTTCGTTCAAAAGCAATCGACTATTCTTTTGATATGGCTCACTCTTATAAAGCTACTTAAAACTGTTCGACAGTCCACGATGAGTTTCCTTTCTTCTAAGGGGGCATTAGTTAGACCCAATCTTCGAGTTTCAGTCCACCGTATGTTCTATTTGATCACCGGCGAAACGCCAGAGTGTGCGGACCAAGCTGGTGCCAACCGGTGACTCATGTGAATCCTAGCTGACTCAATCCACTATTTTTCATATGGATTGGCGTCATAGTGTAGTGCGTTGCATCGAGAATATACACTTCAACATCTCGGGGGTTGCAAACGACAGTATTTCGCCAGTTGCGTAAAAAGTGATGTTCAAGTGGAAGACGAACTTGATGGACACTCGGGAGCTGTGTTTGCCTCTTGAACCTCAACAAGGACGGAACCGGTTATGAGATATCGAAGAGTTCCTAACAACCATATAAATATTGCTCAGTATGCTCCGATACTCCGAATATCGTGCCAACATGAGGCAGTCTTCCTAAAACACACTCGGTTTGTAACAATGCGACAAACAGCAATGTTTAACGTGAGTTTCAAGTGTTTGTCACATTCCTTTAGCCTTCGAACACACATGAATCCACCTCATAGATTTTTTGAATAGCCTCTATCCCCCGAGCACCAGTTTTACGTGCTGTACCTCTGGAACAGCCTGTTAGGTCTTCCTGTCTATCACCAGTGCCTCTTTCATTCCAGGGTGGAATGTACGTGTTCCAGCTGTTTGACTACTACAGTGGAAGCCGAATCATTGTGATTGTGGGATTCCTTGAGTCAGTTGCTGTTGGATACTTCTACGGTAGGTCTCGGATGGCACTCGTCATCCGACTACAAATTTTCAATTTATTCCACTAGCCGCAGAAACAGTTCAAAGCCCACAGAAAAGCATTATTAGATAGTAAAACAAAACAGCTGTATTTCCTCAGTACACGGCACTTGTCGGCCCTGTGCGGCCGAGTCACCATTCAATGTCTCGTTCTTGCCCCGTAAAGTTTGACTACTGTATCTGGATTATAAGTAGAGAAGCTGCTTGAAAGAAAAAAACCAAGCTGTGAATCTATGTAGCTGATCAAATACATTGATTCCCAGTGCTTTGACATGAAGATACAGTTCTGATTAGAATGCCACAAATGTTCATCCACCGTTACCCGGTGCTCTTCTCCAAGATCGCTTAAGAAGTTCTAGGGATTATTTTAAAGCGTCTTGTTGTGCACTCGTGCCGATGAAGCTACAAACGTCTTATTCTCTCCACTTTCTCACGTCCCGACATTCAGGGGCACGCCGTTTCACGAATCATATGCGGTGCATGTACGGCATTGCACTGGGCATAATCCCCACAATCTTCTGGTGCGTCCTGACACCCGTCTTCACAGCGGTGAGTTTCTTTGCCCCGCAAAGACTTTTAACCTGTGTTCCCATGCTAACGTATTTGTTTAAAGCCTACCTGATGAACATCCAACCCACTTATCATGGTTAATTCACAACTCCACGAGTGAATATACAGTCAAACCAATCAGAGGGCTACAAAACCTCAAGTTTTATTCTACTAAAAGAAATGAGCCAAAGGTCTGGATTGAGTAGACTTTGGGCCCTTTTTCCGACAAGGTCAGTTGGGCACACGTGAATTGATTTGAACCCTTCGGTTTAGCGCCCACTATCATCCAAATATATGATCCGGGATTGGCTGGAGCAATCCTGGACATTTGATGACCGGTCAACGGCACTGAATAATAATCGTTCAGCTGTAGAACCATTTCGGTGCCCAACTGTCATGCTACCCGAAGGAATCAGAGACACTATCAGGTTATATATTTGTAATGTACTACTCATAAGGTTGCTGAAAATCCATCGACAATCCACGACCGGTTTCGTCCTTCAGGTTGCCCAAGCTTAGACAGAGGAAGTCGAGAGGCAGAGGTCGGGTCCGAACAATGAACCTGCCATTGAGCCATCTCGCCCCCGCCTAGGCAGGCAGTGTTCATATGATTGTCTGAAGTGAAAAGCGATTGATGGAGAGAAAGGAACATTGATATTGTGGGATGATAACTGAAAATCCATTACTTGCACCGGTAGCTAAACGCAAAGCTGAGGCTAACATCAGTGCACCACAACCCACCCTCCAATCACGGAAGTGTCTTCAAGGGGTCAGGTATTGATTGAATCCTCGAGTGACGACTGAAGGTTTACTATTCGTGTGAAATACCCTTTCTTCTGAGCTTCTTTAGTGTATGACTTATATGGGGACAAAATGTCGGTTGAAATTCGCGATTTTTTCATACTAATGACAAATTGTAAGTAGCTGTGAAGGTGGAATAATTCACCATTGGGGGAGAGACCATCCTCTTGGGAAATGGAAAGAGAAAATCTTCGGGAACCGGCGGGACAATCTGGATATAAACCGATTCAAATCTGTGAAGTCACTGCTCATGAAGCGGACCGGACGGCCACCTTCCTTGTAATTGGCTCGACTAAACACCAATGGGATAGCAGCACAGCGCTGCTAGACCGGCTATGCATATGTCCTGGAGCTGAGAACACATGCATTCAGTACTCCTCGGCATCTGTCATTAGGCGGCATTTTTCTTCACACGGTTCCATCTACAGTCAGTCGAGCACTGCAGATGCTGCATCACTCCGCTTCAGAATGGCAGCGCAGCTGATTTGACGAACATGCCTTCGGTTGGCTGGCAGATGATGAGCCTTCTGGTGACGATATCATGAGATAGGTTTAGACGTTTGTGGAAATAACCTGGGTGTGCGGAAGTCCAGAAGGGACAGGGAGTGCTCCGGTGTCATGATGCTAGACTGCAACCCTCGGGCAAAGGCCGAAAGTGAGCGAATTGTTAGATTTAGATTCCAAGAGTGATATGTTGCAATCAGCAGCTTGTTTGAACCAGATGGAATGAGCTTCAGATTAAGACGAATGTGCAGCTGTTTGACCGATGGTTTGGTCGGGGTCACCATATGACCATTTATTTGGGGATGGGGCTTACCACTTACACACCCATAACCTGGTTTTGGTACAGATGGCTATCGACCAGGAGAACATTGCCACAGTCTTGCAGACATATGTACGAGAAAGTATGAAATAGGGCGAAACGTTCCAAACGAAGACATGCCACCCAGGCGAACTGCCCTACTGCGGGTGGCTACGTGTACGAAGCGTTACCATTGGACAAGGTCAACAGGTCATCAAAAACGAGCCGACTCCAACCACTCTGGTTTGTTTACCAAAAGTCAAAAAGCCGCGACTGACGTTAGGAGAAGACGAATGTGAACTCTGCAACGACGCTTGTCCAAACTTTACCACTATCCACGCTAGTGACCACACCTCTACCGCCACCACCAAATACCCATTAAAAGGAACATATCGTCATTCTGCCTCCGAAGTGTGTTGTTTAGACCTGACATGTAATCTGTTGTCGTTTGCTTGCCGCTCTTCAGCCGCAGACGTAAAGCATGCAAACGAGAGAAACAAAGGGTAAAAACAATGTTGAATGGACACCGATTGGTTGGTTTGTGCAAGTCACCTGATCAATGCCAGGGTAACCGAATCGTCTGCTTTAAGCCAGCCGAGCGTTTTAGCAACAAGTGACGCGCTGCCGATCAGATCAAACCAAACCAGACTGTGGGCACAAAAACAATTAGGGCAAACGATGTGGCTATCCTGGCATTGATCGGTTGACTTGAAGAAAACAGTCAACCATTGCCTGCATCCTGTTTGTACAGCTTGCATGGATTACGTCCGCGACCGAAGAACGCAAAATAATTAATAGCAAATCGCAGCGTTTATCTCCTGTCAGCTCCCACGAGGTGGATGGATAAAGGAAACGCATGTTTCAAAGTTTGTTTGGGCCAAGAGATCATCAAACGTTAACCACTATAAACCCACGATTTTTACAACAAAGCCTATAGTTTTCCACATGGAACGGACGAATTAAGAACAACTGAATGTTGTGGAGTCCAACTAAACAGAATTGGTTTGACAACCGTAGCCTTGTAGAGTAAACAGAAGCAATGAGATTCGGGGATTGCAAACATACGCATCATAGTACTTATGAAAACTGCAAGGTGGGCAGAATGAAGTTGAGGAACAGTCCGTAAAGCAACAGCGCGTTCATCTGTCTGTCAGGGCAACAGCTCTGCGCTCACAAAAATCGCCAATTTCAAATAGAAATCTTTGCGATGTTTTCACTCAGATTTACCACCAAACCTTAGCTATCTGGAAGGCGCTAAACACTGAAGGCCGTAACCTTTCGCCTTCCACATAATCAGACATCATTTCCAAAGCTATGACCTCTAAAGGACAATGGAATTTATTCCTTTTTTGCGGAAGGGTGTTCGGAGTATGTTTATACTGCAAAAGGTGTTCAAGAACTCCAACACGGTGCTGACCACCAGACGAGATGGCTCGATGGTTAGAGCTCAAGGTTACTGACCGGAAGGTCCGTGGTTCGAACCCGGCCTCTGCCTCTCGACCTGCCTTGTCTAGTCTTAGGCAACCTGGCCATATCTCAGCCCTCGTGCTTCTCTCGGGTGGCATGGCAGTTGGGCACCGAAATGGTTTTACAGCCAAACGATTTTTCGACCACCAGACAACGAACCCGCTTCATTTAGGACACGTTGAAAAATTTGACTTCCTCGTAAATGAGCGTCGAATTCGCCAAATATGTTTATTCTCCCTCTCTAATATTTTATTCGTTAATTGGTCAACTGCCCGCTCATCCGCTTGATTTTAGATTCTGTTCGTGTTCAGTGCGATAGTCTACGAAGAACTGACCTATCGAAGGGCTGGACAGTTGATTCCCTACCAATTCCCAAGCTGGTCGGTCAAACTCGGTTGGTTCTTGGCTAGCTCCAGTCTGTTCCTCATTCCCATAACAATGAGTGTGCAAGTTTTGCGCACACCTGGTTCTTTTTGTCAGGTGAGTGCCAGTCAGTTATTCAATGAACTAAGTGTGTAAGCGATGAACGAATACTAGCGAGATTGTACGCTGAGAATATAACTTTCATTGTGTTGGAAAAAACACTAAATATAGCCAACCCATTTTCCCCTCACTCACTTCCAACGTTTTGATTCCAAATGTGGCAACAAGTTTGACCTATGCTTTACCTCTGGTTCACCGTGGGTTGCGAAATGCTTATGAGCCTGTCATTATTTACAGGTCATCTGGGCGATACATCAGACTGTTCGTTCCAGCATTACGAATGTTACCTAGGGGCTGACAACAAAGTGTATTCTGGGAATATACACTCGTTTACAAACTAGTTTGGTTTTCCGGGAGACTCACCTGGAACTCAGCTGAATCTCTCGTTTGTGATGTTCTCAGGCAACTGAATGTGCTGCACCAGACCGCCTCATGTTTCAGTCGCTACGATATTCGAGATATCGTGATACACATATGTCTTTGTAATGTACTACTCATAAGGTTGCTGAAATCCTGAAAATGCCTGAGAACATCACAAACGAGAGATTCAGCTGGGTTCCAGATGAGTTTCCGTCATTTTTTGTTCTGAATCAACCAGCTTTTCTAAATTCACGCGAGGTGAGAAATTTGCATACTAGTCCATGGCACTTACTCCCTTAATGAGCGGTAATCAGAAATGAGCACACATCGACGGAACTGATGACGGTGTCGCGAAGCTGCTTCTTGGTCGAGATCGATATGTTGCTAGGAAATGCCAACATACCATCCAAGCTAAATTGTGCATAAATCAATTCAAAAAACAAAGATAGATGATATAAACTGGACCTCTTGGAACCTTGCTAAATTTTTGTCCGTAAATACACCGACCTGAGGCCTTACTATTCTTTTCTCTGCCTTTCAGCGCCTACGTTTTCTACTACAACCACAGCTGCCCGAAAGTGTTGTGCAAAGACTGGAAGATTACAAGAGGACACGTTAGTCTTTTTTTGTTTATTCTGCGATGCGTAAGGATGCCGGTCAAGCAGTTTTGTTCGGGGTGTATAACAGACTCAACCCAGGTTGTGAGAGGTGATCTGCGATACCAAAAACCTCAAGTACCTCTGCCATTTATGACAGAGGACAAGTTCATCAGTTGAAGTTGGACAGAAAGGATGAGATCCCGCGAAGAATTACAAACTCCGTTGGTTCAGTAGAGCCCTGTCGCAGTTTATATCGGACGAAACATCATCATCATTGTTGGCTGTAATAACAGCCTACTTGTCGTACAGTGGTTGTAGCTACCACAGTTTCGTTCACTGATGATTCGGAGAGGTGGGTTAGGTAGCTACGCATGGAGGCGGGCGCTGATAAATGAGTGCGTAAATACAACACTCTAGGTGGACTGGTAAATGAGGGCGTTGTGAAGGAAGCTATACATTGAAGGCAATAGCTTGGATGCACGAGCGCCATTGAGCGTGCGACTGGGCCACGTCTGACAATGTCTCTAATCATTGATATGGCCCATCTTGGGGTCCCCATCTAGGAAGACGTCAGTGACCAGCGCAGCTGAGTTTGTTGGTAATGGCTTTCACACTTCGCTGC